AAAAATTATACATGAACAAAGAGTATTTTTATTATAAGCATAATACTTATTTATTATGTATTAGTCCAAGTCCACAAATATTTGATGACACTACTATTCAATGGAATTTGTACTAAACTTTTTGGGCACTGGCTCTTTTCACTGGAAACAAAACTAGTCCTTAAAAAATAACAATCCTGCTTTACCTATCATTCTTTATTGCTTCAGCACTTCTTGCTTCAGCCACCTTCTTGGCTGCATAATAAAGGCTTAATCCACTGAACAACCGGAAAACTGTTTTCCAACAGCACATCACTGTGTTCCCTTATACCAGGGGTCCTCAAACTTTTTAAAAAGGGAGCCAGTTCACTGTCCCTCAGACTGTTGAGGGCGGATGGCAGACTATAGTTTGAAAAAAATATGAACAAATTTCTATGCACACTGCATATTAAAAATTAATTAAAATTAATTATAATTAAACATAATTAACAATTAAAAAATGTTTGCTCCGCTCCCTCAGGCTGCAGCAGAAGCCCAAGATGAGGTGGGGAAGAGCATGTCCATATTCAAGGGACATAGCTACAACACAACCAAGGCACTATAGTATTTTGCACAATGCAGCTGATGACTGCAACTGGCATTTACAAAGAATGAAGCAAAGATACTAAGGATAAATACTGTTAATCCCACTCTTAGTATTTGAAGCAAGTCAGCCCAGAACAATTCCCACAATACACAATGGTTGCATTTGGATGCAGAGCTAATGACTACCATATTTTAGTGCAACCTTGCCAAAACTGGTACTGTCCAGATGAGTTGAATTACACCTTCCATTGGCCATGCTGGTTGGGCATGATGGACATTATAGTCCTTGCTGCCACCCCACTTCCAAGAGAGCGGGAAGCCGGAGAGGCGAGCGCAGGGCGGCTCCCCTGGCCAGGAGAGGGCCACAATGAGGAAGGTAAGGACTGCTTTTGGGACAGGGCCATCGCTGGCCAAGCAGGGCACCTCCCACCTCTCCTCGCCATGGAGGGCAGAAGCATGGTGGCCGCTCGATGACGCCTCCACAGCGGCCTTCTCTGGGCAAGCCGTGGCTGCCTCGCCGAGCCCAGGCGCAGCTGCTCGACAGCGGCAGCAGCTTGCCCAGAGAAGGCCACAGTTCCCGCAGCCCAGGGGTGTGGCTCACATACTTAAAAATGAATTTAAAAAGTTATTTTTCTTACCTTCAATCCCTTTTTAGCATCTTTGTCTCTCTCTCTCTCTCTCTCTCTTCCGCCCACCTCTCTTGTGTTTCCTGCTCCGTATTGCAGCTCTGTATATGTGTGCGATGGGAGTGGGAGGGGGAGAGCTGGTGCTCACGCAGTTTAGCTGTTACAATTTGGTGCGTGTGCCAGCTCTGCTCAGTTTCAGAGAATGCCTGTGCCAGCTCAGAGCTTTTGGACTTGCTTGGAGATCGTTTTCTCCAAGCAAGTCCAAAAACTCTGAGGCAGGCCAGATAAATGAGAATGGCAGGCCATATCTGGCTCACGGGCTGTAGTTTGAGGACCTATGCCTTATACATACCCTAGTATTTCCCTTCCCCCTCTTGTATGCACCCCTTAACACGGTGACAAGGTTTGAGAGTGTCAAAGAAGCTGAGAGAAATGCTGTCATGAGGCCAGAATATTTTCACTAGGCTGGTCTCCTAGAAGGGCCATCCAAGACAGAATGGTCCACACTGAGACACCAGGAGTAATGGCCACATCATCAAAAGAGAATGGACTTCATTTATGGTGCTAGGGGCAGAGAAACTTCTGAAACTACTGGACAGTAGTGTGCAGTTGAAGGTGACACTAACAGAGGATCTTTCACTGACAACAGTCGTGATGCTAAAGCTAACTTTGATTAGTATTGCACAGAAAGAGGATGTAATAATCCACTTCTGAATGTTCCTACCTCAAAAATCCTATGATGAAATGATCCAAAATGAAACAAGAGATAGTGCCAGTAGATGAGACCCCCAGGTTGAAAGGAACTTTACAAGCTACTGGAGAAGGTCGAAGAACAAATATCAGTAGCATTGTCATTAATGGAAGTCTAGTGGCCGATAGGCATAGAGGTGAAATGGAAGTCCAGTGCTACACAACACATACAAGTGGAGCATGGAACATGAGAAGTACGAATCAAGGCAAATGGTAAATTGTCACAGTACTTGGTGTGAGTGAACTAAAGTGGGCTGGAATGGATCATTTCCAATGAGATAACCACATGGTGTTTTATTCTGGAAATGGCAAGCTGAGAAGAAATGAAGTAGCTCTGATACTGTGGCAAGACAAAGCACAGACAGTAAGGGCCTATAATGTGATCGCGGGCGCGCTTGGAGTGAGACAGGAACGCTTGCAATCGTCACCCGATGTGAAGTTCGCGACCTGTGGCAAAATTTTTATGAAATTTCTGTTCGTGACCCGATTTGATCGTGAACTGAGGCATTCGTGAGCCGAGGTACCACTGTATTTCATGTACCTGTTCAGACAACTGTACACCTGGACTTCATCAGATGACTAATACAGAAATCAAATAGCTTATGTAATTGGAAACAGAAGGTAGAAAAACTGTAGTCCTGTTAAAAAAATACCAGGGGCAGACTATGGTAGTGATTATGAGCTCCTAATTTCAAAAATCAGAGTCAAGCTAAAAAAGATCACCAATAGAACATAGTGCCAAAATATAACTCAACCAGTATCTCCAAAGAATTTCAACTCCACATAAAGAATACATTTGCATTGCTCACCTGAACTGACCATGAAAGAACCGTGGACTGAAACCAGACGTATTACTAGAGAAAAATACCAAAGGATATTCCTTTAGCAACAAGAAAGAAAAAGCCTATACAGATGACAGAGGAAACCTGCACAGTTGCAAAGGTCAGGTGAGAAACAAAAGCAAAAAGTGACAAAAATATGAAAAGAATCTTGAACGCAACTTTCCAGCAACTATCATGTACAGACAAAAAGAACTATTACAAACCAGTGGAAAGGAACAGAAGAGAGCAACAAGAAAGGAAAAACAAGGGACCTCTTCCAGAAGTTCCAAGAAATCAAAAAGAAATTCAAACCTAGATTAGACATGCTAAAAGACAAACAAGGGAATGTACTTTCTGACCAGGAGAAAATAAATAAAGAAAAAAAGAACAAACGAACTATACAAAAGAGATGAAAGGATGACAGACCTCTTCAAAGTAGAATTCTGTAACAGCCTGCAATATTAGAAAAAGAAAAGAAGGCTGCTCTGAAAGCACTTGCACAGAACAGAGCACCTGGTGGGGAAAGGACACCAGAAGAACTATTCCAGGAGGCAGAAAATGAATCAGTCCAAATCCTAACCAAAATATGCCAACAAATATGGAAAACAAAACAACAGCCCCCAGAGTGGAAACATTCAATATATATTCCAATCATCATAAAAGGAGATGCAAAAAAATGAAGAAAAAGAATGCTATATGACTATTGTGTTAATTTCCCATGCAAGCAAAGTGATGTTCAAAGTGTTTCCACAAAGAATATTACCCTGTATGGAGGAAGAAATGCAAGAAAGAGAGTGGCACTAGAGATCATATTGCAAAAATATGATGGCTACTGAAGTGCACCAAATAATAATAAAAGACATCAGACAAGGATGCATTTTATCGTCCTATCTGTTCAATCTGTATGCAGAACTTATGATAAGAAAAGGTGGATTAGAATCAGAGGCAGGAGTAAAATTTGATGGAAGAAAAATCACTGATTTATGATTTGCAAATGATACTATACTACTGGCAGAAAGCAGCAATGTCTTGAAGCGACTCTTGATAAAAGCGAAAGAAGAAAGCCCAAAAGCAGGAGTGCAGCTGAAAAATTAGGAAAACAAAAATTATGTCCACAGAAGAATTACACAATTTTACTGTTAATAATAAAAAATGGAAATTGTGAAAGATTTCACATACCTTGCTTCAGTCATCAATTTCAGCAGCCAAGAAATTAAAAAAGGACTGAAATTTGGAAGGGCAGCAATTAAAGAACTAGAAAAGATCATCAAGAGTAAGGATGTTTTACTGGACACCAAGGCCAAGATCATCCAAACTATTGTATTCCGAATCACTATATATGGGTATGAATAAAAATGATGTGTTCGTTGGAGAAGAACTTTGTGAATACTTTGGACTGACAGAAAGAGAAACAAGTGGGCCTAGGTCAAATCAAGCCAGAACTTTCCCTAGAAGCAAAAATAATAAAACTGAGGCTGTCATACTTTAGACACATCATGAGAAGGCATGAGAAGGATTCACTGGAGAAGACAATCATGTTAGGAAAAGTTGAAGGCAGAAGATGAATAGGAGGACAAACATGTGATGGATCAACTCAAGGACTCCACAGCCTTGACTTTACAAGAACTGAGCAGGGCTATAAAGGACAGCACACTTTGGAAGTCATTCATTCACAGGGTTGCTGTAAATCAGAGGCAATGGCACATAGCAACAACAAAATGTATCTTTTCCAATAAAAAGGGTTTTGAATTTTGCCCTAATTGTTCAGCAAAGTGTAACAATCCATTGGACAGTACAGCACAGGGGTTTAGGGGCTGAGTATTTTAAAAATCTACAACTGCCTATCGCTAACTTTGTTCACAAGTAGAACTGTTTTATTGATCTAAGTCTAATTCAGTTCATATTCAGCCTCAGTCCTCAACTAATAAGGTTGCTGCAAGTACCTCTAGCTTATTTTTGGGAAAAAAACCAAATATGATCATTTATCTCTCTGAGATAAAGAATTTAAGCTGGGTAAGAGTTCTTACTCTAAAACAGATACAAAAATAATCTCATCCAAGGAATTTCCTTGAAACCATGCAGGTATCTTTGCTGAATTACTGATTTCACACACACACACCCACACACACAACACCTATCATTACTATTAGTTGCTTCACAGCAGTAAGAATTGGTATTTTGCAATGAGAAATTAAGCAGTATGCATATCCTACATGTATGTAAGGAAGGAATTTCTTACCGCTGCACCTGCTGGTGTATGAATATGTACAATACACTTAACATCAGGCCGAGCTGCATAAATGGCAGAGTGAAATGTGAAACCAGCTTGATTAACTCCCAGATTTGTGCTTCCACGATCAACCACATCACCTTGAGTGTTTATTTTAACCTGGTAATACAGAAAAATATTTAAATTCTAGAAATCATTTATGTTTATTCAAGATACATTTCTCTACCAAGTACATCTTATTTAAACACACCTTGGACGAATACAAATATAAAATATAAAAAGCAATACAATCAAACAAGGACAGTGCTGAGGACAAAAGAAAGCCCCCTTTTTTGTCATCTGACTGTGAGAGAAACAGGTAACATCAGCAAGTAGTTTTATATAAAAAAGACTCTCTATTGTAGGTGCACACTAACAGTATAGAGCAAGCCTCTAGTCAGGACCAGCTGCCACAGCCATCACACACAGACAATTTATTTAAGTTTTTTTCTAAAGGCAGGTTGCTTACCTGTAACTGTCATTCTTCAAGTGGTCATCTGTGCATCACACATGTATGGGCTTTGCCGTGGAGTGCAAGGTCTGGATCAGAGAAAAACTTCCACAGCTCGGCATTATGGAGTTGGCAGGAGCCCAGCTCCGCCCCCATCCAGGACAGGATAAGCGGGGGTGCTCTTGCCCAGTCCCTCTGTTGCCTGAAGACCACACAAGGGAGCCGGAGGGAGCACAAGGGAGCTGGAGATCTGTAAAGAGGGCATAGGTGACAGTGCCCGTCCCAAGGAAATGCAGGCTGTTGAGCTGATGACAGCCAGTGGGGCTGTGGGTAGGTTGTGTGAATGCACAGATGACCACTCGAAGAATGACAGTTGCAGGTAAGCAACCTGCCTTTCTTCTTTGTGGTCTCTGTACATCACATACATATGGGCAACTAGCAAGCTTACTATCTCAGAGGAGGGGGCTGCTGTCACCGCAGAATTGAGGAGAGTACTGCCCTGCCCAATGTGTAGTCTTGCCTGGTGCAGATTTCTAGCTGGTAGTGACAAACGGAGGTCAAGGACATAGAAGGTCACAGCTTTGCAGATCCTGTGCAGTGAGATGCCAGCTAGCCTGTGCATGTGTGGAGTGCGCATGGGGACATGCAGGGAGGGGAATCCTTGCCATTTTGTAGGCCAGGGAGATGGTGCTGGAGATCTACTTTGAGAATCCCTGGCTTGAGACGGGCTCTCCCGTCTTGTCACCTTCATAGCAAATGAACAGGCAGTCAGTGCACTGGAGTGAGTCTGTCTGGGCCTTGTAGAATTCGAGGGCCCTGTGGACGTCAAGGAGATGGAGCATGGCCTCAATTGGGGTGGCCGGGTTTGGGAAGAAGGTGGGGAGGACAATGTCTGGGTTGACATGGAATGGGGAAGTAACTTTAAGAGTGAAAAGTGGGTCTGGGTGGAGGATGGTGAAGGGGGTGCTGATCCAAAGCACAGCTAGTTCACCGGCACAGCAGGCAGACATGATGGCTACAAATAACACAGTCTTCCAGGAGAGGAGATGAAGATTTGTCATAGCCATGTGTTCAAATGGCCTCTTGGGGAGGGATTGGAGAACCACAGAGAGACTCCAGGATGGAGTACAGGCCCAGATTGGGGTGGGGGGGGCATGTTACAAAGGTCCCTAAGAAAGTGGTGTACCAAAGGGTGGGCGAAAACAGGGGGCCCCTGAATGGCCTCTACATAAACCCTCAGGGAAGAGGGGGAAAGATCTGTGGTGAAGCAGGACTGTAGGTCGGCCAAAATGTGATTGATTGTGGTGCAGGAAGGGTCAAGGCCCTGTGCTCTGGTGGAAGAGAAGAAAGCCTTCCATTTCGCTAGGTAGGATCTGTGCATGGAGGGCTTGAGTGTGACCTGAAGGATGGCAGTGACCATCGGAGGAAGGGAGCCATAGGGTCTGTCACATTGTGATCCTCTAAGTCATCAGGCAAAGAGTCCTGGTGTAGGGGTGCAGCATCCTGCCCCCTGTGCAAAGCAGTGCAGGCAGTGCAGAGATGGACACTGGGGCAGTATCCCCTGGGGCTAGGGCATCATAGATTTGGTCAACCTTGGGTTCAGGAGGGTGGGACATCTGAATGCCCAGGTCCTCTGCCATACGGAGTATGGAAAAGTCAGAAAAGCTACCCCCATTCCAGGAGACAAGGAGAGGACATGATCCAGGGCCCGCCCATCCCAGGATCCCAGGAGTGAACAGAGGCCAGGGAATGAGAGCATATAGAATTGGGGAAATGGTTCTGACCCGAGTCCCATAATAAAGAGCAGTGATGGCGGTGGCTCCAGCTTGGAAGGTCTTGTGGAACTGGTGAGTGGTCGCAATGGGACAGGGCTGTAGGAGTGGCGGCGCTGGGAAATGGGCCTTTTGTAGGCCGCTGTGGGTGATTGCCTGCAGGCGGGGTCCTCACTGTGACACTGTTGCCAGGAAGCCCAGGTCTGGCCCTGCAGGCTTACATCATGGCTGCCCTCTTGACTGGGACAGGCACAGTGGCAGCAGGAGGCAGAGGCCTCAACCACTGCAGGACAGTGATCCCAGTGGTGGGCCCTGTGTCTGTGGCCTAGTTCCTCGGCGTGCCAAGCAGTCTTGGAGCGATCTCATTAGTAGCTGTGGTCTCATGCATGCAGTCTGTGGGAGGCCATAAGAGATGGCGTTGGCAGCAGGGAGCCATGGAAATCACTGGGTTTTCAGAGGAGGTAGGGCTCCGTTCCTTGTGGTGGTCATGACTGCTGCATTGGCGGGAGGTGGGGAGCCTGCAGTGGGCCCAAAGTGTGGCATAGGGCTCTGAGGAGTCAGAGTCGGCGGGGCACAGCCGCCTACTGCACTGGGATCTTGGGCTTGAGGCGATCAGTGCAGTTGCAGGAGGAGGCTAGAGACCATGAGGAGGAATTTCTCCAGTCTGGCAGATGCAAGGGAGAGCCCTCCGAGTGGTCCCTGGACAATGAGGCGGCACCCATGGACAATGATCAAGGAGGCAGATTCCTTAAAGCATGGTGCTTGGCTTCTGCATGGGCGGTGGGCTGTGTGCTGGCATGGTCTCGGGCACAGGCAGCTGGCTCCTGGCCACAGGCAGTACACACACCTCTGGGGAGTCATGGGGGGTGGTGTTTGCAGGCAACTGAAGGGGTCCTTAGCGGCCCGGTGTTTCTTCTTCCTTGCTGCCACTGCTGTCCCTGAAGATCCTTCTCCAGGTGAAGTGGGTCTCTTACTCGAGGTCCTCTTCGTTGATGTCAATGGAGGGAGATTTTTTTGGTTTCCAACATGTCCACGGTGGTGAGGGTTCTTTGCCAGAACGCTTGTTGGAGCCAGGTGTCCCTCTGCCTCCGTTTGCTTTTTAAACGCTTGGCAGTGGGAGCAAGTCTCTATGGCATGCCCCTCGCCGAGATAGAGGAGGCACCTGAAGTGGCCATCCACGGTGGGTAGCTGGGCTGCACAGGAGCAATGGCAAGAAGCCAGGTCAGCCATGTGGAAAAAAGGGGAGCACATGTGAGCACGAGAGAGAAAGTGGGAGGTTATGTTCTCCAAGCAGGAGAGGCAGCAAGGAGAGAGAACAGCTGTACTGGTCTTGGCTTGAGATCGGTAGGTAGAAGAGGGAAGAATTTTTTAAAATTATTTTAGAAGAGGGAAAAAATGGAGAGCAGGTAAGCGAGTGGAAGGTCTGATCGTGAAGCAACTCCAACGTTGTTGAAGAAAAACTGAGGGACTGGGTGGGAGCCCCTCCCTCTTATCCTGCCCTGGATGCGGGTGGGGCTGGGCTCCCACCCATTCTGTGATGCTGAGCTGTGTAAGTTTTTCCCTGATCCAGGCCTTGTTCTATGTGTGTGATGCACAGAGACCATAAAGAAGGTTTTAGTAACAGAAAGCTGATAGCAGGAAACATTACTCAATAAATGGATACAGCCACCAAAAAGGGAAAACATAATCAGTAGGAAACAGTTACTTTTGTACATGGTTATCTTGACCTATTTCTCCTTTTAGGACAGGGGTCCTCAAACTTTTTCAACAGGGGGCCAGCTGCAAGGTGCCAGCAATGGGCATGGACCAGCAAGGCGGTGCTGGCAGTGGGTAGGGGGCATGTGTGCACACATACGGCAAGGTGGGGGCAGGCACGCGTGGCAAGGTGGAGGCTTGCTCACCCGGAAATCGTTTTCTCCAAGCGAGTCCAAAACGATCTCCATGTGAGCAAGCCGCCGCTTCGCCGCATGCGCGGCAAGTCCAAAACCTCTGAGGCAGGCCAGATAAATGGGCATGGCAGGCTGGATACGGCCCACGGGCCGTACTTTGAGGACCCACGTTTTAGGACATACAGAGTCCATCTGCCTCTAGACTTACCTTTACAAATTCTAACCTTCTTGACAGAGATTTATTTTATATTTTCAACCCCCTTGTGTCTCTCTGATAGAACCCTAAGTAACTGACCCTTGTTGTTTGGTCATCAGAAAAAAATATTATTCAAGAGGAATAAATAAACTAGTTGCATGTGGCAGCATTTCAGACATTCAGCCTATATAGCAAGTACATTTGCTCTTCCATTATATGTCCTGTTTTGCCCCTTCAAGAACTTGAAGTGATAAAGGGAGGAATAGTTTTTCTCCTTTCCTATCCTGCAAACATCTAATCTTTAAACAAGAAAACAAACTCTCCTCCCTTTCCCCTGGTCAAGTTCTCCATGGGAAGAGCTTGTTTTGTTCCCCCTTTCCACTAAAACTTTGCTGGAGGTGGCTGCAGCATAGAGATGTTGTTGACACCTTCTCTAAAAGCTCTACCTGTGGAAGAAAGCAAACTGTTTTAGTCCTTCCTTCTTTTTTTTTTTTTTTTTTTTTTTTGAGGAAGCACCAGCAGCACCTCCACAAGGAAGTAATTGCTTGTGGGGTTTGTTTTATATTTTATAACACAAAAATTTAAGAGTTTAGAAAATGTTCCCATCTGAAACATAGTCCTTTTTTACTGCATGGTCCTGGAGTCTCAAATACAATGCTCACCAAGCTATCTGCACACTACTGCTCTAGATTACCACCCCACCAAAATCACTAAAACTCCCCCCAAACTGAGTTGCTTCTCTGCCATTTCCATTCCGATTGGTGGCACAGTAGAACTTTGCATTGTTTGAAGGGGAGACAGAGAACTCCTGATGACTCAGCTGTGCATGAGCCATGGTTTCAGGGATCTGAAGGAAGAAAGGCAAGTAACATGCAGTGATAAGGATGACTATGGGGAATTTGAAATCTTAATAGTAATTGATAAAAAGCTTGGTATTGTGATAATCTTAGGGTCAGAACTGAAGGCCAATGAACCAGAGCTCAATATAGCCTCTAATCCAAAACCAGATATTGTACTGGTGGTCTGTGAGCTACTGCAAACCAATGAAGTGGGTTATGCAAGGCCTACTTAAGTCAGTTATACATGCCAAATTTGTCCTAGAAGTTCTTCTTCAGAGGCATTTAGCTTATACCTATAAATGCATATAATAATTTACCTCAAACTAAAACAATCTTAATAAAACTTCGTAAAATATTAAACAAGAATTTTAATAAATCAATTTCTTTAAAAAAGCAAACGGAATAAAATATATTGCCTATAAATAATGTATTTATCAATTTACTTCTCATTTTTCACTCACAGGATTTCTCACACTCCTGCACCTGATGCAGTGAGGTGGGTACCAATGGAGGCTTTAAAGGTCTAAATTGTTGCAAAAGGTGGCATTTTGAGAGGAACGCTATTCGAGATTTCAATGCTATGATCCCAGTTGAAAAATCACACCGCCTACTGCCCCTATCAAGCCTTCTGTCTTAAATAGGAACAAATAGCGGCTGTTTTTGAAGTCACATTGTGAGGGAATAATGTTCATGATTGTATTTTGCATTTGTGACACTGTGCGTGTGTGTGTGTGTGTGTGTGTGGGGCATGAACTCCAGCATGCTTGACCACAATCAATTTATTAACCAAAGTGTTTTCCAGAAGCAGAAAGACCTGAAAGGAATCTCTGAGCATGCACAGAGCAGTTTATTGAATCTAATTTAGTATTTATTTCTAGGAATTTTCCTTCTGAGTATGTTTGGTCCCCATCCTTTCGGGAAGGACCCTTTGGAATGAGCATGTCTCCTCACTACACACCGATCCTCTAAATGGGTTCCCCCTTCTCTGCTGATATCACATCATGGGGTTGAGAGCCATACCCCTCTGTTCCAAGCCCCCTCCCATTAAGTGTACATCTTGGTTATTTTCTGAGGCTGCCTGCATACCTGGGGAGTCTGGCCTTGAATGAGGGCCAAGAACAACTGTCTTTCTCACTCCCTACACTTACAAATTGTGACTAGGTTCATATGTCACAACATGCTATCATTTTTCGAGCACTATGAACATGCCACATTGTCTAGACTCAGTTGTAGTATATCACAACGATTTGTTCTGAGCCCAGGAACAATTTTTAGATTCATGTTAAAAAAACAATGCTATGAAGCCTCATGGGAATAGCAGTTACAGAAGGGCCCACGCCAGGCATCCAATTTCTATACCCATGGCCTCCTAGAGATATGCATATAATTAAATGCTTTGTTCCTACTGGCTGAGAACTGTGCTCATCGCCCTGTTTACCTCATGGAACACAGAGAAAGTAGGTAAATGTATTGAGAAGAGAGGGATCACAACAAAAGTGTTTATTTTAATGTACCACCTCCCATACACTTTGGGGGCTGGATTGGCTAAGAAGCATTGAAGAGCTGGAGATATAATCAAGAAGGAGAACTAGGAGAACCTACCTCAAAACCTCTGAGGGCCTATCAGGAGGTTGACAGGAAAAAATATAGTAATAAAGGGATTGCTGCTCATGGTAGATGCTGGGATAGGTGGCAAGAGCAAGGGTGGAGAGGATAGATCCAGCTGAGGTTTGTTATCATCTGTCAAGGATAATATGGTAAGTTGCCACCAGCTGCGGCAACCCCCTATCCTTGCTTATCATAATGTACAAGCCACCCTGCATGCATAGCTATGAAAAGGACTATTTTGATTGTTTCTTTTCCACTTTGAGAATTGTGGTCAAAAATAGGCTACAAATGTATGTAAGTATATGTAACATTCTACTTTGAGTCATGCTGCATCATGCCTATCATTTTTAACTTCCATGAATAATGGAAACAAAAAATGACAAGCCAGGGAGGTGAAAGAGTTAGTGTACGGGTTTGCATGACATTGGGAGATGGCTTAGCATATTGTGTGACTCCTTTCTGTTTCTGTTGGGGTGGCTTGTAAACCATCCCACATATCCATGGCTTCTTCAAGGATTTATGCCATGATCAAGTCAAAACTTAGATAAGTCCCTTGGCCAAAACAGCACAGAAAGTTTGCTGCTGTGGCCCTGGCTGATGGCAGCTGGCAAAGTTTCTACTACTAGGGCCTGGATTGTGCTATGAAGATGACTGGTGGGTGTTTCAGAACAGATAAAAGTACTTCTTCACAGAACACATAGTTAAGCTATAGTATTCATTTCCATGAGATATAGTGATGGACACCTTTAAAAAAGAAATGAACAAATTCACAGAGAAGGCTATCGGTAGCTAGTAGTCCTTATGGTTATATGCTGCCTCTTATATCAAAGGCAGCACACCTATGTATCCCAGCTGTTGCTGAACTTAGTGGGAGGGATTATGGGATCCCATGAGTAGTTAGTTGGGTACTCTGAATAGAACACTGTACTAGAAGAATCCTTGTCTGATCTAATATGGCTCTTCTGATGTTCTTATTTAGCAAAATAATACTATTTGCAACAAGAATATCCTTAAAGTTGGCATAATGTAAAAATGTTTATCAAGTCTGTCTCCAAAAGAAAAGTTAATTACCAAATATATTGTTCCACATATCACTCTACCTAACACATGGGGATATAAATACTAAATCCCCTATTCAGAGTTAGTTCTCTTGTACTTACCAAACTGGACGCAGTAACTTCACTATACAGAAGCCCAAAAGGCACAATGAGAAAGTGTTCTTGCTCCAAATTTACTCTTACCTACAAACAGAGGGTATAAAAGCTGTGATATATAAACATGTGTATAATCCAGCTGTGTTGAAAAAAAGATCATAACATAAGTCCATGAATGATGTAAAAGAAAATTAATTCTGAAGTGCAAATGGAGTCTGGAAGTTCTGTTACGAATCTAGCAATTATTTATTTTGCCAGACTACTTCCGGTTCACCAGATATTCTGCAACATTTGATATTTGCAAAGTGAGACTGTAATTCTTAGTACATGTTTAGACCAGAGGTCCACAGCCCAAGCTCCTTCTGTGCAGCCTCCAACCTACTTGTTTACTGCTATCACCCTCAAGGCATTTTCTCCCAGACCCACACTGTTCTTCCTGCCTCTGGTGGCACCATCTACTTCAGTTTTCCCTGCCCCTTTCTTTCAAAAAACACAACAGCAACATAGTCTCTTCTGGTTGCTGTGGTTGCGTTTGACAGCCCCCTCTTGGTCTTATCCCTCATACTAGCATTTTGGCCATTCTGGGTGCTTTGCTAGCCAGCAGAGCTCAGGGACCCATACCACTCAGCCTTTTCATTCCTCCCCTCCATGAATCACCATGTTGAAAGCTATATATGTATGTAATGAAGATAAAGCAGCTGTTTGGGTGGGTACACAACATGTCAGGCCTGCTTTTGCAAAAAAAAAAAAAAAAAGGCGGGAAAATGAGAGTAAAAGGACTGGTATTTTTGCAGAAAGGATACAAAGTGTTTGCATACTGAACATTTTTGGAGGCTCCACCCATCATGGCTCCTCCAAGTGGCTTCCTGATAAGGTTGCTGCTTCAGGCAAGAGCAGTGGTTTTTTTGTAAAAAAAAAAAAAAAAAAAGGTGCCGGAACTCATGTCTTGGGGTCACACTTTTACACTAAAAAAGATTTTCAATTCACCAACTTTTTTTTTGAAATAAAGAACTTGTTTACCTTTTGCACATAGCCAGTCACTCTACACACACATAAAAATAATGGTCGCCGCAGCCAGTAAGCACTCAACATGCGACCACACGACCAGTCCCAAGCCGAACAGCATCCCAAGCCGAGCAGCGCCCTCACAAGCAGTGCGAACACAAAAGCAGCCTGCATGCACTATGTTAATGATTTTTGCCAATGACCTGCTACGCCCAACAGGGCGATTCACAATCCCTTGGAAAAATTCATCAAAAAATGGTGCCGGAACGCTGTTCCGGTGCGTTCTATGACAAAAAAAGCCCTGGGCAAGAGCATGCTTCCTTCTTCAAGAAGAGCTGCTCACTGTGAATTTTTGTCTTCCTTGCTTTTGCCTCTCCTCCCCCACCCACTCCAGTTAGGAGTCTTCCCATGCATCTGTGACTGCAGGATCCAGAGTGGCTCCTTGGGTTGAGAGGGACGGAGTACTCACTTAGGAGGGAAGATTATGGGACTCCTCTTCCCATATCTTCCTCCAGCCAAGTTCCCTTCCAGTTTGCCTCTCATGATAGAAGCTTGGCTGGCAGACACTGATGTGTATGTACCCTGCATATAATCTTAAGTTAACTTAATGGCATATCCTCTGCTCCAGGAGAGAGGCTGGCCTTTCATTCACTCTTTCTAGAGTGCAGATTTAAACATCAGGGCAGTGTGTTTATTAAGAAACAAATCTCACAGTATTCAATGGACTTAAGATTACAACTCTAGCATCTTGTAGGTCAGAGTCATAATCCATTTTTTACATTCTTCCTCGGCTGTGCATATGATCCAATATCCCTGAGAAGTATAGAGGCAGGGGTCTCGTTTCTTCTTTGCCATGGTCAAAATGAAAATCCCCAGCTAACAGTAGCCAGAGGGGGTGGATTTGATGGGAAAGGGGAGTTAGACCCTTAAAACTGCATGTCCCATATTTTTATTTATTCAAGAGTAATATTGAAACTCTGCAACTGGTGCTCTGCTAAAAATACTGTAAGATGTTTGCAAAAGAAAGTGCTGTTTCAAAGAAACGAAAAATTGCAGATGAGCACCGTGTCTGTAATGACTAATGAACTATGGAGTACTTCTTTGTTTACAAGGATAAAGGAGTTTGCCTGATATGTCTTGAAACTGTCCCCGTATTGAAGGAGTGCAATGTTAAAAGGCACTTTGAATCCTGTCACAAGAGTTACTCAATATATCAAGGAGAGGTGTGAGTGAACAAAATAAGTTATCTTTTTAAAAAATCTATGTTTTCGCAGTAAAATAGTTTTAGAAAGCACATTGAGGAGGACCTGTCAACTGTGAGGGCCGGATATCATGCTGCTGAGAGTGATAGGCCATTTTCACTCATGGTGAATTTGTTAAGAAGTGCATGCTTAAAGGAATAGAGGAAATGCGTTAATTGTGTTGATATACCTGCATCTGCTATCCCCAGGCATGTTGAAGAACTAGGAGAAGAGCTGCGTATGCCACTGATTGTCCAGGGAAAAAGTTTTGATTCTTCCCCTTTGGCATTAGATGAGATCAGTGACATTACAGACACTGCTCAATTACTAATATTTATCAGGGGGATAGTTCCAACTTCAGAATTACAGAACAATTGACTGCAGCACAGAGTTTGAAAGGCAGTATAACTGCAGAAAACATATTCTTGAAGGTGTGTGAATAAGTAGAAAAGCATCACAACAGATGGCGCAACAAATATGGTGGGAAGTAAAACTGGTGTAGTTGCAAGAATCAGTGAAGAGACATTGAAATTAAATGGTACACCCCCATGCAATTTCATTGCATCATCCATCAGCAAGCCTTGTGCAGTAAACTTCTTCAGTGAGAAAGTGTAATGTGCATTGTTGCATCCAGCATTAATTACATCAGGCACCATGGCCTTACTCATAGTGGGTTTCAAAATTTTCTCTCAGGGATAGATGCAGAATATGGAGGTGTACTATTCCATGCAAGGTCAGGTGGCTTAGCAAAGTCCTCAAATGTTTTTTAAGTCTTCATCATGAAGTGGATGTCTTTCTTGAGGAGAAAGGAAAGGGTCAAGAAGTACTTTCTGAGCCTGGATGGATTTCTGATTTGGATTTCCTAAGGAATATCACAGAGCATCAGAACACATTGAGTCTAAGGTGGTGGGGAAAAGGAAAGCTTGTGAGTGACGTGCGCCATGTTTTCTGAACTGAAAGCTTTTGAAGCAACCCTAAACATTTTTGTGAAGCAAGTTAGTAAAAGTAACTTTTCCAACGTCTCATGCTGCAATGAACTAAAATGAGGGAAGGACAGGAATTTACAATTCAATGTTGAAAGACACATCAAAGCACTTGAGCCTGTTGCAAGTGGAATTCCAGAACAGATGCACTGATTGCCATACGAGTTGAAGGGAAATAAGAACGTTTCAGAATCCATTTGAAGTGGCATCAGAAGATGCAAGTAACTTTTTTCAGATGGAACTAATTGATTTGCAAACCAGTGATCATTTCAGAGACATGTACAAAAAATAGTCTATTGTGTTCTACCTGATATTTTTATCAGCCTAAAGAAATTTGCTGCAGACCTAGTCACAGTCTTTGGCACCACATACATCTGTGAACAAACTTTTTCCAAGATGAAAATTGTGAAAATTATGTATAGGTCAAGACTTAACAGATGAGCATATACATGACATTTTAAGGGTGTCTGTCACAAACCTTGACTTGAACATTAGCACCTTGGCTGACATAAAACAGTCACAAAAATCACACTGACTAGGCAAACATGTATAGCTACTGGGTTTCCCCAAAAATAAGACCGGGCATTCTAATAATTTTTGCTGCAAAAGATGCACTAGGGCTTATTTTCAGGTGATGTCTTATTTTTCACGTACAACAATCTACATTTATTCAAATACAGGCATGCCATCTTCTTCTAGAACATCGTCATAACTCTCCAAACCCCAAACTGTGTTGGAATGGACGTATTAAACGTGTCCATCTGGCTTATGATCTTAACTGGGGCTTATTTTTGGGCAAGGGCTTATATTACGAGCATCTTGAAAAATCATGCTAGGGCTTATTTTCTGGTTAGGCCTTATTTTTGAGGAAACAGGGTAGATGAAAGGATTTCATTGTAAAATATCGCTCCAAAATGGATTGTATACAAGTCATTGACCCCTGGATGTTTACTTTTGATCTAAATCGGTAGGTTTTAATTTGTTACATTGTGATTTAAGATGTGGCCCTCTTTAGGTACTGGGCACTCTAATGAGGCCCCCATGTCCCAGAAGGCTGGGGACCACTGGCTTAGATCACTGTCATAAAAGGTCTCACATTTTTGGACTATCATTCATATAGCATAGCCAGTACCAGATCTGAGAATGAAGGGCAATGGCATCTAAATGAAAAGTGTTATTTACTCTTTTCACATGTGCTACACATTTCTAACTAGAAGTGAAAGAAAAAAAATCTATCAGGTTGAAGAATCCTAAACAGAGCATTCACCAGTCTTACCTCATACATACTTGAGAAAAAAAATATAATTTACATTAATCCAGCAGCCTCAAATCTAATCAGCAGGACAATATTTCCTTTGCATGAAAAGAACTGTAGCTTCATGCATGAAGGCTGCTGACCCTGTTTTCACCTTCTATTCCATTCCACTGCCAAATAGAGTTTTTAAGCTAGGGAGTTTCCACACCACATTCTCATGAGGTTACTGTCATTCTGGAGAAACAGGGTGAAAAGTCAGGTTTGGAAAACATGTCTCATGTCCTTTGTTCCACCTGTGGCAATGAACTCAATAAACACAAAGTGGACAAATGTAGGAGTGCACTCACAGGTCCGTTTAGCCATTTGAATGGAAGCAAATCTCCATCTTAATTATCACATTGCCTGTAGGTGGTGAGTCAACTTCAGGCTCTTTTTCGATGAAACTGGGAATTTGAATCCTTTCCAAAGGAGAGTGCTTCAGTCACTCTGCTGGGTGATCTTTGCCAGGACCAGAATAAAATGGCATTGTCACTAGTGGTTCTGCTCTTTCAGTAATGTTTGATACCACTGATCCAGAGTTTCTCCAGTCTGCTGAAGGGAGGTGATGTAGTGGATGCCACTTCTTTTAAGAAACAAGTGGCATTAAGGAGTTGGAAGATGTCTTGTAAGTGATATATTTCAATAGATTGCTTGAAGAAGGACATCCAGATCTAGAGCATCCATCCACAGATGGCTGTCCAGCCTCTGTCTGAAGATTTTTAGAGACTAAGAACCTATCACATCACTGCATAATCAGCTCCATGTCCAACTGTGCCTATCAAGATGTTTCTCCTCATGTTCAACCAAAATCTACCACCCAAAACTTAAACCCATTTTCACATGTATTTGCATGGAAGATTGAGAGCACCTGGCATCCAAAATGTCCAAGCTGTAGTTCAAATTTCATTTAAATTTTGTCATTTCATTTGCTCTCTAAACCTGGGATAGACAACTTCTAAATGGGTGGGGGCAATATTCAGCAGACACTAGTTGAAGACCTGAATCAATCCAATCATCCTGAGGCAAAGGATGGCATATAAATGTTTTAAAAACTAGTAAAACAAATAAAAACACTTAAGATGTATAATTAAATTGGCACCAACTAGCAGTGAGAGCTTCATTAGCACTGAGAACTTAGATGCTAGGAGGCCATTCACTAATTGATGAAAGAGCCCCTCAAGAGACTTTGTTCCTTTCTTGAATGCAAATGATAGAGCCACACCTGCACAGACACATACATGTACATACTGTAATGTAACCAGATACACATTCCCCTCCTTTCTTGAAAGTGAAACTGTGAACCAAATTTGGTATGACCACCATGGGTAGCTGAAGTTGTTTTGGAGGGAGGCTGAGTCCCATAAAAGTTGCCTATCTCTGCACTGAATTCAAAAAGGAGAGAGAAATGGGTGTTTCATGATTTATATACTCACTGTTATGTGATTGTAAATAAGTTGCGACCATCCAAAGAGATCAGCTAGTCTGTAGAAAGCTGCCAGCTTACATCTCAATAATTTCTCTCCTTTCTCATAAGCAATGGAATCTGATCCCCTGAGATCATTCACAGGTGTCACCATGCCAAGACCTGAAGAAGGAAAAGGGACATTGCAGGTAAATGTTTACATCTCTTAATAATACTGTCCCATGAATTGCAAGTTGGAACTGAACATTTACTGCCATAGAGTATGCAGAAATATACAGAGGTAATGATCTGACCACTATAAGGGACTATTTCATGCTCCCTCAATCAAAAATTACTTTCTTCCTGTCAAGAGCAGAAAATTAAGTGACATGTCATGTACATATAAATTGAGACAGGTTGACAGTTGCCCCAGTAACCAAAAAAGCGTATCTGACAAAAAGGCTTCAGTGTAGATAGTTTAAGTTTCCCAGGACAACAAGCCCATGGGTATTCAGCCACTCTTTGGATTAACTTCACAGTTTAGGCAAGGAGACTATGTGGAACCTCAAGTAACCTCATAATCCCAAGAACAGAGAAGTCACCTCTCACTCAACTCAAAGCCCATCAATCAAATCATAACTCACACTGGTTCTGCATATACCACTAGAACTCCTTTTTGTGTTAGGGTAGGGACAGAAATTAAGAAGGACAAACTCTTGAGCACTATGAAAATAAGAGTTTAGGTATTTATTATATTTCTATCTTGCCTTTTTTCTTTAAAGAACTTAAAGTGACTTGCACCTCTTCCTGTTCTCAATCTTATCCCCACAACAACAACTCTGTAAGGTAGGTTGGCTGAGAGTCTGTAACTGGCCCAAAGTCTCCTCACTGACTAGATGTCTGAGCAGGGACTAGAACCCAGATCATCTGGGTCCCAGTTCCACACTCTTAACAAATAAACCACATTGGCTCTCATATAAAAGAAATATTAGTAAGAAAACCATAGTAAATGCACATAGCGAAAGAATACCAAATCAGTATTAGTCTTTCTGGATGCTGTGATGGTAACCTTCCAGAACTGTTCCTGATGAGGAATAGTTTGAATAGGCTCAAAAGGCACTTGAGAAGAGCCCATAAAATTGAAGAGATACTCCAGAATAAAAATATATTTAGAAAGTGGGGCATAGGGAAATCTTCCAAAGGAAAAAAAGCCTAAGAAAAATCTACATCAATAACTATATTAGCTTAACTCATAATTAGTAAGGGTCACAGGACAGGAAGCATACATACTGCCTCCCTAGCTCTTGTCATTCCCTAGCAACAAGCATTTACCCAGAGTTTCCAGGTCTGAATGTAACAAGAACAAACCAGAAGTGATGTTGCTAGATTTTCTAGAGAAGTAGGCAGGAAACAGCTTGTTTCCACATGATCACAAAAAAAAAATTCCATAGTTCTTTATGCAACCACTCTTTGCTTGATGTAAAATGGGATGCTTTCTATCTCCTCTGAGGCATAAAAGAGGGGAAATCTGAGGTTTGTAGTGTCTTGTTCATGCAGTGGGACACTATGGTTTTCCCACTATGTGTAAACAGAGCCAAAAAGTGTAGCATTCACATACAGAAATAGATCGTTTCTCTGGTTTCCAAATTGAGACATAACATTTGGCTAAAATTTGGCTATGCCTCAAATATAACTTACACAAAGCTAGCACTTTCATGTGTGCATATTTCACTCAACTGCAGGCCTGCAGAAATTATGACATAAACTAAAAGCAATCTATCATCCACATACAGTGTATGGCAAGTCTGTATTTGCACTCAAAAAGTTTGGGCATACAGCTAGCTAGAAAGATTTGCATACTTTGCACCTTTTGAGCAAGGAGTAGTATTTTAAAGTCATTAATCTAGCTTAAATGTACTTTTTGTATATTTTAATATTTATGAATGTTTTAGGCATGAGATAATCAAAACCACAAGCCCTAATTTGTGGGACAGTAGATAATATCAGCTATGATGTAATCTCCACACAGAAAGCTGCAAGCATGTGCTGATCTTGGAGTAAGGTAGCTCCTTATTAGTAGCTCACCATGCCTATGTATCTGTCAACTGATATCTATCAGGAAATCTGGTATAACGTGAGATGTTATGTTATCTGTTAAGCTATTAGTCCAAGTCTAAGAAAAAATGGTTGTGGAATACTATTTTCTGTTAAACTATTAAGACCTAAGAAAATTTAGCAATGTTCTGTTTGATAAAAGACTTATTTTATGCAAGTTATATTTTAATGTAGTATTATAAAACATATGTAATTAAAAATAAAAATGGATCTAAGTATTTCTCTTACTAATGAAGTACAAATGAAAAGGTTGAACCTGTTTTAAGCACAATTCTCTCTCTCTCTCTCTCTCTCACACACACACACACAAACTTACATGAACCATTAACACAATTTTTCATAGAGTTCTGGAGGTTTATAACCAGCACAAATCAGAGTAAAGCTCTTGGATTAGGAAAGTTTTATCTGCCAATGTGAAGAGCAGAACCCAAACTGGAGCATTCCTTTCTTTCTAGAAAGAACTTGACTCCACTCTGAGTGGCTCAAGCTGCTTGAAGGCTAGATGGCAGGAATAGCAGACAATACTTAACTGGTCTGCCCTCCTGGCGTGCTACCTCTTTGACTCCTCCCAGATCTCCCTTCAGAACCAAACAGTCTTGGAGCAAAAGAGCTGTTTGAGTGATCTGGCATGGTGGCCTTGACAGTTCACAGGCCTCTGCTAATTCCTGTTTATTCCCATTCCCATTCCCCTCCAAATCTGAACTAGCTATCTGGGAAGACTGTAAAAGTATTCTGTATCACCCACCTAAAGCCATTTCAGGTGTATGTTTTTCTTAAAATATATTAATCTGCTGTACGTGTCTGGCAACACGTTTCCTAAATATTGGAATTAAAATTGCAGAACACTGAGCAAAGGCCAAATTTGTGACAGCAGTTCCAGGGAGCCAGCTAAAACATGACTTCTATTGAATTCTTTATGATTAGCATATGTTGTCTGAGGGCTACATTCTGATCCATGGACCTGAAGTTAAACAATCCTGCCCCAGCAAAGGGTTTATGCAGCTGAACAAATACTGTACTTACAGAGTAAGATGAACAGGTGGGGGTCAAGACAAGCAATGAAAATATAAACATCACTGCCTGTGGTATTGCTGGTGCAAAAGAAAATGTTCCTTCTTGATCTTCTGAAGTTGTGTCGATGCTATATTTTCAGAAGGATTTCAGCAAATGTTCAACTCCATAAGATCATACCAATGCTTAACGAAAGGACTGAATATTCATATTCTTGGTTTTTAACAAACATTTATGGATTAGGAAGCTACATTAAAGAGTTCTGTAACAAATACTTCTAGGCATGATGCTTCTAAAAGTATTGTCATTACAGCTATTGTACACATATGAAAACATTTTAACACATTTCAGAAACTTTACTCTGTCTTGTTACAAAACCAAAACCTTGGAAGAAACAGAAAATTTCCTAAGTGATATTCCTCACTATTTACCCTCCTGCATAAAATGAGGAATGTTAAATGCACTGGACTAGAGATCACTCATGAAAATGGAATTATCCACCATTAAATCTTAAGAAATGTGTCAAAACCCTCAGTTAAAAAAGATTAGGACAGTTAAAAGAAACACACTTCTTACTTAAAGTGCTACTTCACGGGTTAATAAACTTTGTTGTTTACATCCCAGATTGCTTTCTAGCACTTTAGGGTTGAATACGTCAACGACAACCCCTACCTATGCCCTCAAAATTCATTTCAACTCACTCATGTTTAAGGCAGCCATTCCACCTTGAGGTGCTGCAGGATAAACATTTGGAATATTTGCTGTCATGAAGTCTGCAATCTGTTGTAAAGCCAGTAAGCCAGTTGGGTTTTTTCCTTTCTTGAATTGTTCCTGGATCATTGACTCCAATTCTTCACAAAATGCCTAACAACAGAATATAATGTCACATATTTGAATACTGCAGAATTTCAAATGAATTTGATTGCCTTAATATTTCCTTTCCATATCTCTTACCTGCCTTAATGCTTTCCTCTCACATTTGTTTAGAAATGTCTCTACAGAAAAAATAGTAATTAGGCCTGTTTCTGTCACTTAGGTGCACTGTCTTAATCAGGGACTTGAACAGGAAGTGTTATCTGCTCCTCACTGAGCAAAGAAGGCTTTTAATCACATACAATCTGATGACGATTAAAATGGAGGCATACAGAACCAGTCTAAAGACAGTATTGGGAATCTAGTCACAAATGTGGCTATATTCAATTATAAGGATGGAGTGCATCCTGGCCAGACAATGAAATCCTGGAGAGGAATTGACTCATAAATCCCATATGAACTCATGACCCTGACAGGTAATTGAAAATTTTATCCTGGAATATAGCTGGCTGAGGGGAAAATGTAAAGATAATGAACTTGTAAATTTTCTTCAAGGCTATGACATTCTTTTATTGCAGGAAACCTGGGAGTTAGACCAGGTGAATGAGTTTACAACCTATAGTTTATCAACAATTACAACAAACAAGGTCACCCATCAGCTGGTCATCTAAAATCATGTTTGAGGGATCTCCGTGGGACTATGTGAATTTATGTAGATTTGCATTGTTATGCCAATAAAGCTTCCTACTACTGCTGCTGCTTTTAATCACTATTTGTATTAATAAAATATTTTATTATAATCCTTTTATTGCATAAGTTATCTAAGAATATTTATACTGAAGAACAGCAAAGTTGTATGTTCAACTAAGGAACAAATCAAAGGCAAATTGGCAGAATACCAAATAGCTTTGTTTCACACAATGTCTTATTTCTTCACAAATGCAATCTGTTAACAAAGTCACAAAAATGCAATTAATATGTAAACTTATTTTTTATTTGGCTGCAACTTTGTGTGGAAAGGAACTGTAAGTGCCTGAGGATTTTATTTATTTATTTATTTGTATAAACAGATTGGTCTGTCACAAACTACTGTGTAACATATACATTCCTATATACAGATAAACTTGTATAATGTTGACAGAAGTAACTTTGACCCATTGAACATCTAAATGGTCAACCTTTTTCAGCTTTTCTACTATTTACTTTGGTAACAATGGAGCGGGGGTATGAATAAGAATAGTGCTGGGATCTGAAAGGCAGTACTAACCCTAACCCTATGGTCTGTGTACATTTGGCATTTTGAACGGATGTAAATAACGGATGGGGTACTTTCTATTTTTGTAATGTTGCAATTTTTGGGCCTTTTTGTACCTTTGTAGTATGTTTTTATTTAAATAAAAAAATTCAACCTAAAAAAAAAAAAAAATTTCAACCTAACCCTATGGTGCTTCTATCTAAACAAGATGTCTTTTCAAAAACAGCCTGAATCTTTTTCTAAGACTAAGAAAAGTTTCAGGAGCAGTCTCCAAAGCAGCCCAATGATGTATCACTGGAAGAAGATATGGAGAAGTCCAGAGTTTGACACAGAAATGCTTTCATATGCCTTAAGATCCCTTGGACTGTATTGCACATGCTAATGCTATTTTTGGTAAATTTGTTTAAAACAAATGGGACAACAGAAATTATTGCCACTGTTCAGTTTCTTGTGGTATGTATGTTTGTTATTCAGTTTTTAACTTACACAATTCTGCATATCATACAAAATGTGAGATTATGAAAAACCATATATTCTTACTGGGCTTTGAAGAATCATGGAAACTCTCTTCTTCTGTTCCATCATATTGAAATCCTGGCGAAGGTCAGGTGCCATGTTTCTCTCTCTCAAGTACTCTGGGTTATTTTCATCAACTCTATCAAAATATCTCTCTTTATGAGGGGCTGTTGGAGGTGGTGAAGTTACCACCTCTGTTCTGGATTCATTCATAGTACCATTCATAGCACTATTTCAGTTGTTCTGTGGAAATGAGAAAAAACAAATATCACATTCAGATAGCTTCACACAACATGCCCTCAAAAAAATCTTATGAGAAATGCTAAGATGTAATTTGCAAACAAAATGGAAAGTACCTCAGACTTCTCTCACCTAAGGCTAATTTCAAAGAGGTAATTGCAAAATCAGGAAGCAAAACCAGAAAATGAATGAGTTCTTACAATCAAAGTGTGGATAACAAGCTATGATGGTCATGTGCCAGATGATTTGCATAATTACCTTTGCTGGATGTGACAACTCATGTCATCCAAACCTGAAATGCATAGCTGGCTGGAGTGGTTAACAAACAGGAACATATGGAGGGGAATGGAGTTTTAAGGGGAACGAAGTCCAAGAGGGATACGAAACCTTGAAAAAAGTGATTCTCACAACGTAACTATGAACGATCTCAACAAGAAAACGGTACAGAAGACAAAAGAGGAAGCCCACATGGCTCAACAAAAAGTTAAGCAAAACAAAAAAAAAAAAACATGTACAGGAGGTGGAAGCAGGGTGAGGCCACAAAGGAAGAATATAAGCAAATAGCAAAGAATTGCAAGGATGGCATCAGGAAGACTAAAGCAGGAAATGAACTGTGCATAGCAAGCGATGCTAAAAACAAGAAAGCTTTCTTCAGGTACATCCAAAACAAAAGCCATATGAAAGAGAAAGGTGTTTAACTACTTAAAGTGGATGACAACAGTGATGACAGACAAGAAGGAAAAAGTGGACATGCTGAAGTCTTGCTTTGCCTCAGTCTTCTCCCACAAGAAGATGTACAATGAAAGTACAAGGTGAAGGTGAGGGATGGCAGCCCAAGTTCAACAAACGGTCAAAGAATATCTAGATGGAATTAACATACTTCCTAAATGTACATTGGGAATACTGTGGACATAATCTATTTCAGCATTAGCAAAGCTTTTGACATAGTGTCCCACAACATTCTGAGAAGCAAAGTAGCAAAAAGTGGAATAGATAGAAAAGTTATTAGGTGGATCCAGAACTGGCTATTAAATCAGACATAAAGCGTGCTAATCAATGGCACCTTCTCCAACTGGAGGAAGTTAACCACTGGGGTACTGCGGGGTTCAGTCCTAGGCCCAGTGCTCTTCAAAATCTTTATTCATGATTTAGATGAGGAAGTACAGAGAACAATAATCAAATCTGCAGAAGATACAAAACTGGGTGAAAAAGCAAACAACCTTGAAGACAGAATGAAGATCCAGGGTGATCTTTATAATCTTTGAATGCTGAGCTGGAAGCCACAGAATGAAATTCAAAAAGGACAACTGCCAAGTCCTCCACCTAGGAAAAAGACACCAAATGGATCAGTAAAGGATGGGGAAAAGGTGGCTCATCAGAACTGAACAAGAAATAGATCTTGGAGTAATTGTGGACAACAGGCTAAATATGAGTCAACAATGCAATACAGCCACAAAAAGGGCAAATCCTATCTTCACTGATGTATCAATATAAGTATTACTTACATAGAAACAGAGCGAGTCAGAAGGGGAGTCCCGGGCCAACAATTTTGACCCCCGGCTCAAGCCAGCTCTGCTCACGACATGCCTACCATGTGCATGTCTAGCCTATCCTTGAACACTCTCGCTGATGGGGCCTGAATCACCTCCCGTGGAAGCCCACTCCATATCCTTGGGGTCCTAACTGTCAGGAAGTATTTCCTGGAATCCAAATTGAACCTTGGTTCCTTGAGCTTGGCTCCATTAGAGCACATCCTGCCCTCCTCTGCAGGGAAGAACTGGTCTCTATCCACCTCCATGTAATACCCCCTCACATACCTATATGTCATCAACAGATCCCTTTGGAGTCTCTTCTTCTCCAGGCAAAAAACACCCAGTTCCCTCAGTCTTGCCTCATATGGCTTTCCCTGCAATCCGGCCACCATTTTTGTGGCCCTACACTGCACTGACTCTAACCTGGCTATAACCTTCCTGAAATGAGAACTGAACACAATACTCCAGTGGCGGGCACACCAGAGTCGTGTAGAGTGATTAGTAATCCCTCTCTCAATCTAGAAGCCGTGCAGGGGATGGAGCTAGCCAGGATGGATTTTGGACGCTAAAAAATCTACTCCTCCCGATCATTGACAAAAACATGATTAAAATATACTCAAATCAAGATTAAGAAACACTGGACAATTGCATGAATTGTAAGTCAATTCCTTTGTTTATCTCCTGGGAAGATTTGAAACACAGACATGGAGGAAGAGTTGTTTTTGTGAGTTGAAACTGCTGGGCCTAGCCCAGAGTAAGCAATATTTCAACTGATTATGGACTGAGAAACAGTGTTTATTATAAATACCTCAGCCGCTTGTTGTAACAACTCAAAGAGCAGCTTGAAGAGATGGGGAGATAAAAGGCAGAAGTTGTTTTCCTTGAACGTGTTTTTGTTTTTCTTGGCAAGAAGTGACACTCCTCTCCCCCCTTCCATGCAGCTGGAAGGGTGAGAAAGTGCCGAAAGTATAGAAAGAGAAAGTATTTCGACAGTGCTGTAAGGAATTTATATCAAAGTTAATTAATATCCCAGGATTAACTCTTTTGTGCCATTTTATTTTTATTAGGAGAAAAACTGAACGCTAAACAAACAGAAAGGAAAACGAAACTAAGGAGAGGGCTGTATGTAAGAATTGTATTTGTAAACAGTAATATGTGAGCTCCCTCTGCTCTCTGAATGTCAAATTGCAGCTACTGATTTATATATTGCTTGAAAGTTCAATTGTAATTGTGTTCTGCAAATAAGAGTATTAATTTCAAGAGTTCTCTCATCTAAGTTGGAAATAAGTGTAGACTGTATGCCTGTACGAAGCAAAAGTGCAGACAACGTTAAGCAGGAGCCGAAGACGATTTGGCAAAGACCTAGAGTAAAGCAAGATTCTTCTTATAAACCTCATTCATCAGATTGCGATTAAAAAGAGTAGAGATGGGTGGAAAAAAGAAAACATCACCAGAAAAACCACCAGAAAAATCAACAACTTCATCAACACAATCGGATAGTTCTAATACACTTTTACAAGAAATAAGAGAAAAGAAGACAAAGCTGATGTCAGGTGTTAATGATGTGAAAGAAGAGATGAAGAAAACAGATGTTAAAATAGACAACATGGATGGAAGAATAAAAGATTTAGCAAAACAAAACAAAGAAAATCTCCAAATAATTACACAAGTGAAAGCCAGTTTAAGAGAAGAAAGAGTTGAAAAAACAGGACCATGATACACCATGCCAAAGAATGATCAAACTACCGCACCACTGCACTCATTTCACATGCTAGGCTCCAGCAGTATGTGGACCGAGAAGTACCAGAAGTACAGGCAGGATTTCGAAGAGGGAGAGGAACTAGAGATCAAATTGCCAACATATGCTGGATCATGGAGAAAGCTAGGGAGTTCCAGAAAGACATCTACTTCTGCTTCATTGACTCTGCTATAAAGGCTTTGATTGTGTGGATCACAACAAATTGTGGCAAGTTCTTAAGAGATGGGCGTACCAGACCATCCTGTTCCCCTCTTGAGAAACCTTTATGCGGGTCAAGAAGCAACAGTGAGAACTGGATACAGAACCACTGATTGGTTCAAAATTGAGAAAGGAGTTCGGCAAGGCTGTATACTGTTGCCCTGCCTATTTAACTTATGTGCAGAGCACATAATGAGAAAGGCGGGGCTAGATGAATCATCAGTTGGAATTAAGATTGCTGGGAGACATATCAACAACCTCAGATATGCTGATGATAACACTCTAATGGCAGAAAGTGAGGAGGAACTAAAGAGCCTCTTGATGCAGGTGAAGGAGGGGAGCGCAAAAGTTGGCTTGAAACTCAACATTAAGAAAACTAAGATCATGGCATCCTGTCCTATCACTTCCTGGACTCCAGGGGATGGTGGAGGACAGGAAGGCCTGGAGGAATGTTGTCCATGGGATTGTGATGGGTCGGACACGACTTCGCAACTAGCAACAACAACAACAGACCAAGCCTCAAAAAGTGTGATTGAGATCAGGGATAGACAACGAAGATCGAATTTACACGTTAAAGGATATCCAGAGGATGTGAAAGAGAATGAAGATAAATTGATTCAACTAATATTGGACTGGACTAAATCTATTCTTCTAAATGTTTCCTTTACAAGATATGATATTGATGCAATATATAGAGTTGGCCCAAGAAGACTGGGAAGAAAAATACCAAGAGACATCGTGGTCAGATTTTGGTCATATGCAAAAAAAGGGCAATTGATACGGAAATTAAGGAACATGAAACCAATTATGCTGGAAGGTCATCAGATTCAAGTCTTTCCTGATTTATGTAATAAGACCTTAGAATGGAGAAGAGCTATGTCTCAAGTCTACCAAATATCAGAAAAGAAGTCCATTAAATATAGTTGGGGGTTCCTGATTTTTATGAGGCTTGCATATAATGGAAAATATGATAGAAGTGACACAAAGGAGGAAGCATTGGAATTACTGAAGATGATCGGAATTATTCTTGATGATGAATATGCAGTACAGAAGTTAAAGGATATGTCTACATTTTCAAGAAGGAAGACAGAGAAGCAGAGAAGGGACAGGGAGGAGGAGAAGCTGGGCACATCAGCAGGAGGCTCATCATTTCCATAGAGGAAGAAAGAAGAGGAGATCCAGAAAAGGAGGATATTTAGAAGAAGGATGAAAAAATAATTAGTTCTATACATATTAGATATTGAATATATTGTATTTGTTAGTGTTGAAATTAATACTGAAACATAAGAGAAATTTTAGTATAGAATAAAAGGGTATAAAAGATTGGGGAGGGTGGAATGGGTCTCTGGGGTCTTTACAGGGAAGGCTCCTCTCCCTCCCTCCCTCGGAAGCCCAAGGCGGCGGCAGAGAGACCATCTCCTGATGATGGTAAAGGGAGATCCCATACACAAATGTGGGGAGGAAAAGGGTGGGGGTAGGGACATGTTCATTTGGGTTTTCGTTAAGGTGTGTTTATTTTTTCACATATAGACACCAAAAAGAACATTTAATGTATTGAAAGAATGGGAAAAACACTGAAGATTATGTAGTGAAATGTAAATGGCTTGGGAGAAAAATAGAAACAAGCCAGAATTGAAAAACCTTTATATAAAGAAAAAGCAGATAATATATTTTTACAAGAAATGCATCAAAAGAAAAATGGGGTAAATGAACTAAAATTATATTGGGCAGACGTATATGAAAAATTATATGGTACTTCTAAAGCAAGAGGTTTTGCAATTATTTTTGCCAAAAGTTGTGAATTTAAAATAAAAGTTATAAAAAGAGACCACTTGGGGAGATTCCTCATAATACAAGGTCTAATTTATGGACAAGAGGTGATGTTAGCTAATATATACGCACCTAATACAAATCAAAGGGAGTTATACGACAAGGTATATGAAGAAATAGAAGAATTAAAAAGAGGATATGTGATAATGGCAGTTGATCATAATATGGTTACGGACAAAGAAAAAGATAAATCTAACCCATCAAAGTTGGACATAAAATGTAAGAATACATACTTAAGTAGATTTATTAATGAAAATAGATTTAAAGAAGTTTGGAGAGAGTTAAATGGGAACCAGAAAAGACATACAGTTTATTCAAATAGACATAAAATTTTCACAAGAATAGATTATATATTTGTAATATCAGAAATATTGTCCAAGATAGTTAATGCGGATATAAAAGTAATTAAAATATCAAATCATGCAACATTAGCAACTTCGTATAAAGAAAATTTATATAAAATGTTCTATAGATGGTATTTGTCACCAAGTCGATTAGCTAAGATGTTTCCAAATATGTCAAATAGATGTTGGAAATGTAAACATAATGTGGGTACTTTTTATCATATGTGGTGGACTTGTGATAAGGCAAAAAAATATTGGATTAAAATACATAGATGAATGGAGGAAATGTTACAAAAACTCTTTGCTTTTAAACCCGAAGTTTTCTTGTTAGGCATCATACCGGAAGACGTTAACAGACAGGAAATGTATCTGATGCTGCATCTAATTACAGCGGCGAGGATTGCATTTGCTCAGTATTGGAAAAGTGAGGAGCTGCCCACCGATGGATTGATTGTAAGAAAGATCTTGGATTGCGCAGAAACAGATAGATTGACTTTATCATTGAAGGAGAAAGAGGATACTGACTTCTATCGAACTTGGGATTCTTTCTGTAATTGGCTGGAGAAACGGGACTTGGCGTAAACTTAGAGGTGTTTTTAAATTATTATAAATTGATTTGAATTTGACTTTAGAATGTTAAAAAATATGTAGTAGGAGGCT